ACGCCATTTATTCTAATCTACACTAACTAGTCTACAATAATAAACAAACTCAAGGTCCATCTGACTCAGCATTTTGAAATGAGAAGATAAGATAAAATTCCACGGACTTTCTGTTTCATGTAATATAAATACAGTATTATATGGACTTCTGGCTGTTGAAGTAATGTATGTTTTATATTATAATAATAATTTTTTTAATTTAAAGAACTTGTCTTTTCATATACAGATATAGCTAATTAAAAAAATTAATTTAAAAGTTTTACAGAAGATTTTTAATTATTTCAATTTCTTTATTAAATGGCAAATTATTAAATATATTTACACAAAAATTAAATAAATGTTTATCGTATTTGGATATCCTATTGACATGAGTTTTACATTTTAAACCTTATCTTGAAGTGTTATAAAATTCAACCCAATTAATTAATTCATTTTTTAATACCTTGATATTTAAATTTAATTTTCAAAAACAATTTCATATTTTGTATTAAACGGCTCTGTTCAAATGACATAATATCTAAAAACTCTAGTCTTTGATTCGAATTTAAATCACATTTTTTAAGTTTAGAGCAAAAAAATTGTAATTTTGTTTTGTATTTTTCCAACCTTTTACATTGTGTTGAATAATATGTCATAAAAGATTACTGTACTCTAAAAATGCATAAAATGTTATACATTACGAGCTGTAAATATAGCGCTCATAAATATTACACTGTAATCTTGGTTAAATAAATCTAAGACAATAAATAAGACAATGTGATAAATAGGTTCTACTTTAGAAACCTAAAATCTAAAAGACTTGAAACCGAAAACACTCAAATAAGCTCAAATAACTAACTGACCAGTGGACATATTTTTAATTTAGACGTGTCTTAAACAAACCGAACATAAATTAAGTCAAAAGACAATTGGTCAGATAGTTATTTGAGTTTAGGCCTTTTAGGGTTTAGGTCTTTTCGGTGTGTTCCGGTAAATATGAGAGTAATATGACATGTTGGAAACCGCCATCCAATATTAAGTTGGATCCGGTCACAAACGACGGGTCATCGGACGTCAGATACAACACGGCTTTTGACACCTCCATGGGCTTACCCACCCGTCCCAAAAGGCACTTCTTAGCCCTCTCCTCCAAGATTTGCGCCGATTTCGCTTTATTCACGTCAACACTATCCGTACAGTAGTGTCGCCCACGTTTACGACCGGAAAACTCAAACTAATGACTCCTTTAATACTGGAATGGGTGGACACTATGAACGACAACATCGACAAAATCATTGCCAAAAGTAATGGCAAACTCTCCGCACTGGTAGACGTGAAACAAATTACCGGAGCCTATGTTATGGAGTCTATAATACAGGTGGCATTCGGCCGGAAAGTGTCGGCTCTGATTGAACCAAACAACCCTATTATAGAAAACGCCCGTAAATTGTTTAATACGAGTTTATTGACCATGGTAAAATTTTTGATCATACTAATGACACCAAATGTGGCCAAAGTGTTGAGGGTATCGACGTTTAATAGAGAAGTTATGGATTTCTTTCGCGACTTTACACTCATTTTAATCGGCGATAGGAAACATGTTTTGGAAACCGGAAGTCCTGTAAAAAGGGTAGACTTTTTGCAATTTCTGTTGGATTCCATTAAAAATAATAATAATAAGGCTATCGATGGGTCAGAAAAATATACGGATACTCAGAGTGCAGAGAAATATCAGGAAATACAGGCCACGGATGATATGACGGATAAAAGTGAGTATTAATTGATTTGTTTAAAAAATGCTTTAAAAGCATTAGAAATTAATTTAATATAGAGTTTGATCAAGTACATTTATAATTGTATTTAACAGGCCATACAAACGACGAGCTTATGTCCCAATGTGTGCTGTTTTTAATGGCCGGGTATGAGAGCACCGCCAACACCCTATCCATGTGTCTCTACAATATCGCTAAACACCCGGACGTCCAACAAAAACTGTTGGACGAAATTACAAAATTTAATGAGCACTAAGTTAATTTTTTTGAAACTTAAATAATATGATCTAGTCAAATTTCAAACGCGTATGTCTATTCCTAACACAAATCAACTCCTAGAAAATATAGTTATATTAATCAACCATTATTCATAATGATTGAATTATGGTATATTTGCATTGGTATACGTGGCATAGTTATTGACTGGCTCATATAAGACTTAATTTTTAAAGTTATAATCCTTTAAAAAATACTTTACTTTATAACAGAAATCAGGTGACGATTCGTACGAAGCGTTTTACGCATTGAAATACATGGACGCAGTCATCGACGAAACCCTACGGCTATTCCCGGCGGCCATATTCATAGAGAGGATTCCCTCCGAGAACTATGAGCTAAAGGGCACCGGAATTACCATCAAAAAGGATCACTCGGTGCACATCCCAATCTATGCCATGCATAGAGACCCGGCTAACTTTGTCGATCCAGATCCAGGTATTATTAACGATTCGTACGAAGCGTTTTACGCATTGAAATACATGGACGCAGTCATCGACGAAACCCTACGGCTATTCCCGGCGGCCATATTCATAGAGAGGATTCCCTCCGAGAACTATGAGCTAAAGGGCAC